CGGTGGTAGCGGCACTGTAAGGGCTCGCTGTTGGTGGAGTTGCTGCATCTGCATCTGGCGTTGTTGCTGAAGATCCCACAAGCTAAGACGTGGACGCCCACCATCAAGGTAATTTCTGTTTAAGGGAACTGGGGCCGCTGCCGCTGTGGGAATTGAGGCTGCTGTTGCGACCGCTGTGGGAATTGAGGCTGCTGTTGCGACTGGAATGACTGGGGCTGCAGCCAATACTTCGGCTTCCTCTTCGTCTCTCTTCCTCTTGTGCCGCTCATCAGACTCCCGCATTCTCCGTTCTATATCAAGGCTAGAGCCATCGCTATCATCTGAAGCCATGACAACGACAACGACAACGACAACGGTGGGGAGTGCGGTGGAATTCGATTCGATTACGGGGAGAGGAAGAACTCGAAAAAAGGGAAATTGTGGTGAAATAGGAGCCACAAATGGATGCACATGGGATTGCTGGATCCACATGCAAGTCATTCAACCCACGAGATTCTATCAAAGAACAATCATATGCGATTTTCACGAGTTTTCCTGACGTACGGTGATTGCGTTTTGGCAGAATCTGGTGGGTTGACGATTTTTGAAGTTCGGCTGGCTCTAACGTTCTGATTGGTCCTACGCGAATTCTTTTTCCCCATTAATTTCGGTACGGCGAATTGAGAATGCAAAATTACTGATACGGCGTACCGAAATTAATGGGCAAAAAGAGAGAAAGCAAGCCGCTTTTTGCCGTTATCTTGATTTCGCGGATGCACGGAGGAATAAAGAGGTTAAAATGACTGGTTAGGAACGATCCTGAGCCCTCACCCCCTTTTTTGGTATTTCCTGTTTCCTGTTTCCTGTTCCGGTGAAGCCAAAATTTAGGGATAGAGATAGGCGTAAGCCAACAAAACTGGAAATTGAAGGTTCTACAAATTTGGGGGTAGGAATAAATCATGATTATTCAAGGTTAGTTCACTCAACACAATAAGCCAGCAGAAGCTACAAAAGTTACAGGTACATACGGGAGTGACAGCTGTAAAATTATGGTTAGCGGGCGGCAACACACGACGAAGTCGGGTGTTGTCGCCAGGGCTAGCTTAAATAAAAAAGAAGGTTATAATGAGGGAATGATACCGGGCGGCAACACACGACGAAGTCGGGTGTTGTCGCCAGGGCCACCTTGAAAGAAGGGTGCAATCTCAAACATGTCATCCTTCTTCTATCTGTCTTTCTGCCGAGGTCTCGCAGCTCCCGCTGACTTAAATAGAAATTGCAAAGCCTCCACACGGTCCTTGCAAATTGTAACTTCTGTATTGTTACCGTGGAAGAGTCATAAATCAATGAGGTCTGCGCGCGGTTCGGTAGTCGGTACAGCATTTGCACCTGGAATCACCAGGTGGTGGTACCGGTTACTGGTGGATTGAAGTGGAAGATTGGCATCCACGAACTTCCAAAGCCATGATCAGAACCAAGGCTCTACGATTTACGACGAAACTGGTAAAAAGCTTGGCCCATAGTTCGGATGACGCACACACATGTAGACTATCCTGCCAACCGAACCATTGCTTGGCTGGTCACTCCGTTTCTTTTGCCAACAGCCCTGAGTGGTTAATAATTAAACTTGATTTTGAGGACCAACAAAGACAGTGGACACTGTCTTTAAGTCAGTTCCACCTTGCAGTCACCATCGGCTTCCATACTGGTGTATTGGAAGTTGAAGATGCCATTCACCAATCTTCCGTACAATAATCAGAACCAAGATACTACAGTTTGTTGTATAGTAAAACCAGAAGTGAGATGCCTTCTTTTCTTCTTTTTCCACGATAGCGACGTAAGCGAGGCCTAAAAGGAAGTAGAAGCTTGGCCCTTGTCCTCCTGACGTACAAAAAACCATCAACCTCAAGGTCGGGAAGTTGTCATGCCAACACGAACAATGGAGCTCGTGCTTGCCGGTTCCGTGACTCCGTGTTATTTATTTGCCAAAACACAAGACAAACATGTTCTGGCACCGTACCGGTTACAGGAGCGGGTACTTGTATGCCAGACCGCACCAACCACTAGCCACCGCTTCGCTTAGAAGCGGCTCGCGCGTGGGGTAGCTGGCTGCATCCAGTTCGATGGCTACCGCCTGGTATCTAGCTAGCCAGCAGATAGAATGCATTGGACGCAGCCATACCGGTAGCTATTGTAGTTTGGTCACCACAGGCAGTGAAGCTATTTTTGTTCCGTGTTAGACTTGTACTACACCTGAACTTTTAACTTTTATTACAGCTGCAATAGTTAGTTAGTTAGTTAATTATTTGTGCTCTGTTGTGTCTTGTGTGCTTTTGACAACCGCGTGAGTAGAGGTGCAGTGGCTTGATGGTTGTCTTTTGCGATGGTGATTGATAGGAGAGGAAAGGGGTAATAGTTGATGAAAGTCCAGTGATGAAAGAGAGAAGAGAAGGGGGAAGTGTTGACGTGAACAATGAATGAATGAATGAAAGCATGCAGACCTCCTTGAAGGGAAAATCGCCGTATTTGTACGTTGGGTGGCTAGTCTAAGGTAGGTCTGGTGCACGAAGGAAGCAAGTGGCAGGCCTTGGCTCCGCCCTTCCTATAGAGTGGGTGTATCTTGAGAATGCGTGCATCTTGTGTCTTGAAGAATGCATCTTGAATGTAATGGGATGACTGATTTAGCTATTGGCCAATTCAAAGAGAATGTGTGCAAAATCATCGTGTGCAAAATCATCATCGTCTCCTCCTCCTTGTGTTTCCTCCGCTCCTTCCTTGTAGTCGGAGGCAGCAGGAGCCACCATGGTTTGCTCTGTGGTCTCAGCGAGGAAAGCAGCACGTGCCGCCGCCACTGGATCATTGGCTTGGATAGGTTGACCACCAGAGGTGCCCTCGAGAGTGTTTTGGGAGACACACCTTGGCACCAGCTGTTGTGCCGCTGGTGCATTATTTGCTTGAGGGGCAAGCTGCAGCTGAGTGGCAGCAGCGGGAAGTGGCTTGGGGCTACCGGTACTGCAGACGGAAGAGACCCGTCTGGTAGTAGCGGGAGGTGCTCGCAAGGGATTGTGAATCATGGGAAAGGGGACACACTGTGCAGCAGGGGCGGCTGGAGAAGTCACGGGGGACGGAGGATGACTAATAACAGCCGCCTGAGCCGCAGTAACAGCCGATGTGTATGGCTGGTACATTGCCAGTGTGGTGGCGGCACCTTGGGGGTGGACCATCCGGGTAGTGTTACTTGGAGGAGCAGGCGGAGGAGGAGCAGTAGTATTGTACATGTAGGAGATGGCCTTGTATGGAACGACGACATCTTGAGGAGGCGCCACCGCCTGCGCCGTTTCGACGTTCCTTGTGACGGGTCTGAGCATCATGGCACATAGTCCATTGGGATTGGCTCGAACAGCTTGTGCCATGCCGCTGGCCGGCTTTGGCATAAGATGGGGCAGTGGGGGACCTGGAAGAGCCAAACTTGATCTAGTAGTAGGATTCGTCGTGAAGGCAGTGCTGCTCAGTTGAGGAGTGATTGGAGATGTGTCTTGAGCTACGGGTGGCGCCACCGATGCAGCATAGTACATGTTATTGCACGTTTGTCTCTTTGCCACCATTTCGTGGGTAGGTAGAAGCGTCATTCTGTAGAAGTTTGGTTCGTTCTCTGGTTTAGCAGGCTTTCGAGGGCCCTTGCCTTTCAACTGTGAAGGCGACGAAAGGATAGATAGATAGATGGATAGATAAGCTGCGGTGAGATGGATGGATGTGATCACTGCAGCTAAGGAAGCACAACCAGAGGCAGCTGTGTGGTCTTACCCTGATGCGTTGGATGCGGGTGGCTAAGAGAGGCTTTTGACGGAGGAACAGCTCATGGTAGCAGGCTAAGAGTGCAGCCAGGCGGCGTAGCGAAAGCAAGATAGATGAGTAAGCAAGCTTTCAGATACTAGCTACTAGTACCGTGAGGGTACAATAGCTTACCTCCTCTGTCAGGCCCAGTAGTGATCCGCTTGAAGCCATACAAGTTAAGCTGCCTTTGGAAACTCTCAAAGCGAGACTGAAGGAACCATCTGTGCACACGTACAGTACCAGTACAGCAATAGAAGGATGAAAAGAAGAAGATGAGAGACTTAAGCTTCAGTGAAGCTCCTTCCTACTAGCCAGCTAGAGGTAGCATTGCTTGAAGGCACTTACTCTGGCAGGACCTCCTTGAGGAAGCGCTTGCGGTCGTGAACGGCAAAGGCCCGGCCATGGACCTTCCAGGAGACGATACTGCGCGAAGTGATAAGTGATAGCGATAGAAGTACAAGCGAGGAGTGAGTCGAGCTAGCAGTCGTGAGGATGACTTAGGCCAGTCTTGAGTAGACCACCAGGTAAGTAGCTCACCTCTGAAGCTCCGGATCTCGCTCAGAAGCGGTGAGCAGCATGTGAATCTTCTGCGGAAAGACGAGATCAGAGGACTTGCAGCGCTGCGCCAACTGAAGAGGAGTGGCGGCCAAGAGACTGGCAATCGACTCGTCTTCCATGTCCAACCGGACCTCGGCAAAGTCGTTGTAGCCAGGAATCTGATACGAACGCTGAAGGGCGGGTGCCGGAACCACCGGGACATGAGGAGGCGCCATGGCCAGAGGAGAGGGCCACGTAGAGGAGCAAGGGTGTGGAGGAGCCGTTGTTGCGTTTTGGTGAGCCATGGTGCTTTTCTACTAGCTAGTAGTCTGTTCTGTGCAATACAGCAGTCTACGAGTGAAATCAAAATAAACTCTCTGGAAAGAAGAATGCTTGGCCATCGATTATATTGGAAAACCGCAAAGTCGGCCGGTGTCTTGGAAAATAATAAAACCAGAAGCAAGCTCAAAACCTCCTGTACTGAGCGCAGGCGACGAATAGCGATTTGAGATTCCTTGAATCCTTTCAGAAGAAGCGCAACTTCGCTTCCATCATCTCACCACTCACCACTTCGGATTGTTTCAGCAAAGGTCAGATACACACATGAACTTTCACGGGACATTTCGAAGTTTGCCGTGTTCTATTTGCCTCATACAAAGTACTCTTCTTCTATACTACAAACAAACTTCCCAAAAGCTTCAGAGAAAAGCTAAAAGTCACAAGGTGTCCCGCGAACTTTAAAAACCCACGGTATCAACGAGCTCTCAGACCGCAGACTATTTATTTGACTATTGTACTCGTAACTCGGTACTCTCTCGACTGTCGCCAGAGGTCGACAATAAGAGCTCAATAAGTGCGACGCCAATTGCAAGGCCTCTGGTGGTCAGCAGTGACACACTGTTCCGGGCCTCAATGCAACGTGGTCGACCCATAATTCATCCGTTGAAATAGGATAAAGAGCAGCGGTGAGCCAGTACAATGTACATGTACAAACTGTCACTGACATCGTCGTACCGGTAGCGTAGACAGCTTGAAGACTTTCATGGACTGCCAGCAGCAGCCTCAAGGCTTTCGTGGACTGCTACCTGTTCTCAGATAGATTCCGAGTACCGAAAGAGAACAACTGACTTGAGCTTCCGTCTACATGCAACCGCCAATAATGCCGCAAGAGGTTTCCAGTACCAGCGAGCCAGAAGCGTCCATGAGAACTGGGGTAAAGAAACTTGCGTCACCGGAATCATTCATTCAACCAGCCAATAGTCTGGAGTCCAATTATTAAACAATCAAAGCTCCGGCAAGGAAACTTGCCTGCGCTAGTAACCATTGTCTTCAGAAGGGAACTGCACGGTACAGAACGTCAGTGATGGAATCCAGAACCTTAGTACCGTGTAGATCAGATTCTTTAAGAGAAGTGGGACTTTTGCCTCCTTTTCATGGACAGATTCAAACTCTGAGCTGATCGTGGCCCCAAACCTCTCCATGAATTAAGGGCAGCAGTTAATAAAAGCCAACTCCAATAAATCCCTAGCAAGCTTCTGAAGTTTTGCCATGCCTTTTCACAGCCTTTCCACCTGACTTGATGCAAACGAAAGAATCCCAAGGGCATGCCGCCTGAGCGACGAGTCGAGTCGAATCTGCGAATCTGCGAAGGTGTTCATGCGATACCGGTAGGTACCGCCACAGTAGACGGTAGATGTAACTACTTCGCCACTTAGCTGCAGTACATGTACCGGTCGGTGACTAGCTACAGCTCTAGCTCTAGCTAGACTACTCTATTCTAAAGACTTGGGGAAGCGGATACTAGCCCGACTACTGTAGTCTACATGAAGTATCTGCTTGCTCTACTTGCTCTAGATGCTCGATGGTCAAGCTGCTACGCTTTCGCTTCGCCTAAACAGTCTTTGGGCCTTCGCTTCTGTGCTTCATCTTGCATACCGGTAGTGCAAGTCTCATCTTACAGCAATAGTATTTATGTCCTTTTATTTTCAGGGCTACCGGTAGCCATAATACCTGTAGGAGCAGAAGGATGGCTGCTTCTGACCAATAAAACCCACAACCCACAACGTCTAGCTAGGATTGATTGATCATTCATCCCAGCATCTAATCTAAACACTTTTTGCAAGTAAGTATGTTTCGGTTGCCCGATAATCGAGTACAGCTGGTCCGTAGCGGGAGAGTTGGATGACGCAACCAAATTGCCGAGAGAAACAGGAGAAAGAATTTTTTCGAGCGAAGAGTGAAAAGCAACAACAGAAAGGAACTGGGAATGGAATCGGAAGGTGGATGGGAGCCCTTAATTGAGCCCTCTTGGCCACTACCGGTGCCAGGTACTGATCTACTCAGTAGAGAATGTGCCAGCTTGCGTTGGGATGGCTGTTGCTACCGGTACCGGTACTAGTAGGTACGGCGGCGTCACCCGCACTCTCTAGCTAGCTAGTGCTAGACAGCACGAGTATTAACAGCTGCCTTGGCTGCCTGCAAGTAATGCTGCCTTGTTTCCTTGCCAGCAAGTAGCAAGCAGTAAGCTAGCTAGCTGGCTGACGCAATGAGCTCAGAGAGACGGCACCGTAGTTCATGTCAGTTGGTTTGATATTGAAAGCTGGTTTGGTAGACATTGGCTGTAGATGGCTTTCCCAACCTTCTTTCGGCAAGTAGTGGGAAATTGCCCCAGAGTCAGAATGCTCCAAAGAAAAATGCGGAGGATAAAGCAAAGAAGGGATTCATCAACGGCTACTCTTTTTGCCTCGAAAGCCTTTACAACCTATCACAGTGAGCCAGGCAGTCTGCCACAAAAGGCTACCCAGAACTGCCGTAGGCAGCAACTCAACGCATGTTCGCTTCCAACGCGCAGCGCTGACGGTGTCATTGCTTCAAAGATTCTATTGAGAAGCACAAACAATCATTCCTTCGAAACAAGGAGAGTTTTATTCCCAAAAGTAGAGTTACTTCATACATCATGTACGACTGTATCTCGTGTCATTGGGGCTGAAGGTGAGAAGAGATGCTCCCCAAGCAAGCGGGCTGCAAGAGACAAACAAAAAGCTACGGAGCGAAAACGCATTGGTCAATGCCAAGACTGGTGGGAGAGCACAGCCGCAGGCCAGCTTCAGCCTTTTAGTAATAATAAAGCTTCGGCCAAGCGTTGATTCCTGTCCTGCCTTGCGCACGGGCACCCAAACACCCTTTGACTGCACAGCTGATTAACAAAGCAAACCAGCCATGAAAACGTGAAGCTACAGTTACTATGGCAGCCTGGCAGCCTGACGATTGATGATGCAACGAGGAGAATCCTTTTCACCCTTGTAGTTCGGCCATTTCAACTGGTTCCATCTAAAAGTTCCCTCACAAGGATCATCACTGTGGCGGGCACCACCAAACAAATACGAGTACAAAACCGTGCTGCTCGACCGGCCTTGCTTGCCGATCCGTCTCAGACCACAACCGAGGTTGACTTCCTCAAGGCTGCCGAGTAAGTTACGTAGTTCCCTTCCTGGGTTACAATGGCTCTGACAGCCAGCAGAACCGACGTCGTTGACAAACTATGAATAGCTATGAGTAGAATTGAATACTCCTTTCTATTATTTATTTTATTCTTGGTTCTTGCTTCCTTGGCTCTTGGGTATTCCGTTGTTTGCTTTGCTTTCTCTTCTCTTCTTTTCTTTCTAATGACATAGATACATACTTTTTCTTCCTCCCTCTACCAAAGAAAAAGTAGCATCATTATTGGCTGCGTTTCGTTCATGGCTGGCTGGGCTAGGTAGTGTCGGGTGTTGTCCCCCGCAGGTCGCAAGCAAGAATACAAGCAAATCGCTTGATCTGCTCATGACCATTTCTATAAACACCCTCGTTCATACTAGCTGTGCTCGCAAAACAATCAGGAAAGACAATCCCTACTCTTGTTGTTCGTTCTCCTCTAAGGGGTGCGTGAAGTTACAGTGACGGAATTGACAGACGCAGATGATAGATCGGGAGCAGCTTGACCGAGTCCTGGGTTGACTGGTGTTACCCAAAAGGAGGCACTGTCGGAACTTCCCTCGCGGCTGTTTTGGTTTTTATTTTTGTTCTTGTCTTTGCCCTTTCCCTTTCCCTTGTCGCCATTATTTGGAGCGACGGCAATGGTATTCGTCGACGCCTGAGCAGATGGGTCCACACGATCCGTGTTGCCAATCGATTGAGTGACAGTCCCATCGGGTCCTACGACTTGTACGCCGCCAATGCTGGGACTTCCAAGTTCGCTGCCATTGGCTCCTACACCTGGAACGTTGGGATAACCCCAGCTGTTCCCGGTTGTCACTGCGGTCGTTGTAGCTGTCGTTGTCGTTGACGTTGTGGTTGATCCAGTCACTGATGGAGGATTTACATTAATGGCCGACGATGATGTTCCTGGCTCGGTTCGATCTGATTGGCCATTGCTATGATGAACAACGACGCTTCCTACCGATGCAGAGCTCAAATCCGGAGCTGCTCCTCCCTGAGTTGCGCCTGGTGTAACCCAGAAACTAGAAGTTCCTCCAGTAGCAGAGTTTGCTCCATTGTTCTTCTTGTTATTGTCCTTCATCAAATGGCGGGCATTCCTTGACACAGCTTCCCTCTTGTTCTGCGCCTCTTGGCCCCCTCGAATGGTGGCATCGGTATGAGGTACAATCCATGCTGCGAGGAGCACAATCACAAGGGATGTTCGAAGCATCATGGTTTTGACAATTCAAGTGAAAGGATGTGCGTGAACTAGGGTAGCTAGTAGCGATTCGATAGTAAGAACTAGCTAGGTTGCCCTTTGGTGTTGCAGCCTTGCCTTTTGTGTTGCGATCCTTTCCTGAGGTTTGGTGCGCTCTTTTCCGGTTTTGGCGAGAAATCTGTTGCCATTTTTTGCCGGATCATTGTGAGAATCCTTGCAATCGTTACTGGCATGCTTGCGGGAGGTAAGCCCGTAAAATCGCCGAACAAGATAGGAACCGGTTCGTACCGGTACCCTGTTCTGGTACCGCTTCCACGTTTATCGAGGTCTTTGATGAGGTTATTCAAAACCACCTGTGATACTTGGCATCACTCCAAGCTCCTCCAAGTTGGAGAGATGTATGTAGATTTATTTTAAAATTATTAGGGAGTTGAGAATAGAGAAGCTATCTACATGTAGTAGTATGTTGATGTTTGGCGAGCTGAAGAGATCATCATGAGGGGAGACGCAAGAACACATGGCTTATGATTTGGTCAATTGCTTGCTGCAGTGTTTTGGCTCGTATCGGTATCGGCATTGCCTTCCAAACTTTTTGCCGAAAACGATAATCCTACGTTTGATCTCAGTCTTTTTGTGAAGTATTCTTCCTTCGACCCGTCTTTCTTCTAGTAGGAGACGATTGGAAAGATGAGTTTTGTTATTCTGGCTGTGCAACTAATGCCAGCACTACGAAAGCTTTCATATGGACCAATTTGTATGGTAAACCATCTGTGAGCTTGTTTATTGAAGAGTGCACTACCCAAAATGGAGGAAGCAAACAAACAGGTTGTTGGTTGGGACCAATGCCACGAAGGTTGGAAAAGATACTCCCTGCCTGGTTATTACAAGTGTATCAAAGCCACCAGTCCTCTGCATGGACGACTTCATTGTTCCTTTTGTCTACCGGTACGCTTCAGTCCACAGTACCGTACTGAAGTTGGTTTTGAAAGGGATAGGCTATAACTTATCGCTGATCTTGTGTCTCGAACTGATACCGTACCTTATTACGAGCAATCCGGTACGATGAATGAAGCTACAGCTTGCAGTGTGCGCAACGCCGTTCCCTTGCGGAGTATTTTCCAATCCTACTTGTTCCGACAAAATAATAATAGAGGATGATTGATGCAGCGTCGAGTGGGAAAATGTGTGTCGTCTGTTGATGGAGGAGAAGGGAAACAGTTTACATCAATTTACTATCATGTGATCCTGTTTCATGCACTGTCCTTGGCTCTCCTCAATTTGCCAATCCTTGTCTCTCCGCCCTTCATCAGCAGGCAGGACGAATGAGTTGAGTCATTCTGGCAGCATTGTCAGCCTTTTCCTCTTCTTGCCTTCTTTTGTATTATTGCTGATCACTTGCGTATACATCTCATTCTGCAGAGACTTTTGGGATTGCAATGCTGTGTCACGAGATAGTACATGTACAGTAGTTGACTTGCTTCATGTGATTATAATAGTCAGGAGAATCTGTGCGCAGTATTGTATTGGATCTACCGTTCAGGAAAGATGCACAATACCCGAGGGCCGTACACCATGTATGCATTCGACTAACTCCCCTCCAACTCCAGGATCCATTCTGGTCTAGCTAGCTATGCCCCACTCAAGGATCAACTCCAGAACCAAATGCAGGTTCAACACCATGTCCCTTCCTGGCCAGTCAGATATGGGCCCATCTCGCTTGCTAGCTTGAATGATCAATCCACCCTGCTGGCATGCTTGATTTTAGGGACTTATCATTCCCACTTGATTCCCTTCTACTAACAATAAAGGCTCATTACCAGTGACTGAACCATCAAGAAACTGACATCAGTTCACTGCATGATGTCAACAAAGATCTGCCGAAGCCGAGCAACCAACCAAAAGGCAAAAGGGTATCATTTATTTTGGGTATCATTTATTTAGTTTTCTGGATCCAATATTATTTTCTTTGAGAAATCTATTGCAGTTGTTTTTCTAAATTTTGGTTGTGGATAAAAGATAGACCATGGCGGATCTGAAGACAAGGAGTTTCCTGCTTCTCTGCCTTTTGATTTTTTCTCTTAGCAGCCGCGTGGGAGCGTTTTCGGTGGGATCCTCCAGAATCGGAACATCCAAAACCACGGGATCATCATTGTTGTTTTTATCGGACCGTCGAGAAGACGACTACGATGCTTGGTTGGAAAAATTAGATCCCAGTGACTTTGAAGATGACTCTCCTCCACAACAGCAGCAACAAGAGCAGCAAGGAGGAGGCGATTTTGGGAAATGGAGAGGACAACCCCGCGGTGGTGGTGGTGGTGGATTTCCGAGTCACGACTACGAGCGGGACTGGGATGCCGATCAATCCAACGTGGACGAAGCCCAAGTCGACCGTTTGATTGCGCAACGATTGCAAGCTCGAAAACGGGGAAACTACGATCAAGCCGATGCCATTCGTGATGAACTTATGGACGATCATGGAGTCTCGGTATGGGATAAGGATCGTCTCTGGCGAAGTGGCTGTAGCTCCAGTGGCTCGGGTCGTAAGTGGGGCGGCGGCCGAAACGATAATGATAATAACGGTGGGTACAATAACGATCGACGAGGAGGACGCGAGCGATACGGAGGACGTAATGATCGTGATCCAAGACGCGGACGTGGCGGCGGTGGACGAGGAGGAAGACCCGAACGCAATTTTGGACCCAATGGACACGATTACTCGTATTCTCCAGATGCCGGCCCGGTCGATTCACCCTTGCCCGAACCCAGTATCCACGACCTCATCAGTCGACGTTTGCAATGCAAGCTCAATCGAAACTTTAGAGAAGCCGATGACCTCCAAGATGAATTAGCTAGTCAAGGGGTATTTGTGCATGATGGAATCAAGGAATGGCGTGCGGATGGTCAACCATTCCCCAGTGGTGAAAGGCAGCGAGGTTTCGACGGGAGAGGTGCCAATACTCCTTACGAATTGTCGCCATACACACTGCCACTCATTGAACCGGCAGCGGCTGCAGAAATGGGCACTGAAGCTGCACAATTGGCTGAAGATTCACTCAGGACACAAATCCAGCAACTCATTGATGATCGATTGGCTGCCAAACAGGACAGAGTTTTCAATATCGCCGACGCTATTCGAGACGACTTGCAAAGGGACTACAATGTCTTTATTGATGATCGGTATGTGATTTATCTTTGTAAAAGTGCTTTTTTTGTGTGTGTTCCAAGCTCTTGCGTCCACCTCACTGATTTTGTTGTTGTTTTGTTTTTGTCCATTTTTAATTGGCAGCAAGCGTCAATGGTCTGTTGGTGGCAATTTTAAAGCACCTCCGCAGCCATACTCCATGTCACCCTATTCCTTGCCACTCGCCTCCATCATTGGGGACGCGGCCGATGATAAGGCTCTCACCGAGTTGCAACAAAAAATACAAAGCATGGTAGATGAAAGATTGGAAGCAAAGCTCAGGCGAGACTTTACTACTGCAGACGGAATTAGAGATGAGCTATCAGCAGACTACAACGTCGCCATTGATGACAGAGAAAACATGTGGAGCATTGGAAATGACTTCAAACCACCACCGGAACCCTACAAGCAGTCTCCGTTTTCACCACCACCGGTTGGCATTGATGCAGAACGTGTCACCGAAATGGTCATTGAGCGCGATGAGGCGCGTTCACAGCGAAAATTTGGCGCAGCCGATAACATCAAAATGGAGCTGGAAGAGGATTTTGATATTATCATTAATGACAGGCTCAAACAATGGTCCGTCGGAGGAAACTTTGGACCGCCAGGAACAGACAATGATAGCGGCAACATGGCGTCCTCCGGATCCTGTGCATATACGCAGCGTGGTGGTGGATCACTCACACCCGAAGATCTCGCGACTGTGACTCAACTCATCAATGAGCGGGCCGATTTTCAAATGGCAAAGCAATATGGAAAGGCAGACCGGATCCGGGAACAATTAAGAGATACATTCAATGTGCGTGTGGATGATCGAAATCGAGAGTGGCATGTCGTTACCAATGCCATTGCGTACGTGCCATCACCCCATTCCTTGGATGAAGATGCCATCAAGTACATTCAAGAACAAGTCAATCAGCGTGAAGTTGCCAGGCTCCAGAAAGACTATGACTTGGCTGATGACATTAGAGATGCATTGATGGATCAGTTCGCAGTATCCGTGGATGACAGGCTGAACGGTACGCACAATAGGAAGCTACTCTGCCATTTGGGAGTGCTTTGGTTATAAAAATATCTGGCTGACACTGTGTTTTGCTTCAGAATGGACTGTGATTGTGGATCCAAGCAACCGCGTTGCCGCACAAACGAGCCCCAATGAAACTGCGGAGTCAGTGGAGTCATGGAACGAGGAAGATGTCGACGACCTAGAAGATGAGATTTTGGGGGCAGTCGAAGCTGACAATCGTGCTGTCGAGTTGGGCGACGATGAGGACGAAGAAGGTGAATATGAATACGAAGAGGAGGAAGAGGAAGAATATGAAGACGAGGAGGAGGTTGAGGAGGAAGAAGAAGGAGAAGAAGAAGCAAATGTCCCGCTTGAATCTCTCACCGTAGTGCAGCTCAAGGCGATGCTTCGTGAGAGGGGTTTGCCCGTTAGCGGGAGAAAAGGAGACCTCATTGACAGGCTTCAATAAACAGGCGCCAGACTTCTTGACAACCTCTTGCATACCGGTACACATACGCTGGCTAGGCAAAGAACTTAGCTTGCCCCAAGTCGCAGCGATGCAGATACTTCCATGGTTAGCCTAAAGAAGGAAGAACCATGTGCCCGTGCAGCCAAATCACTTCGAGCGGAACCAGCACACCCAACCCACCCTTTCGTTCTTGTCCGGAGACGTAAAAACACGAGTTAGCGAAAGTAAGGTTGGCAGTAGTGATGAGTGTCAAGGTTGATAGAGCTGTATCTGTTAGTTTGTTGTGCTCTTGATGATGCCGCGCAGCCAGCCAACACCACCCCCAGCTACCGGTATACCGCAGCTATAGATTCTCGCTCGGCTCTGCTTCCTAGATCCCTTCATCTACGTTGTGCGTCACTTCCTTGATGGCTTGGTGTCTGCTCGGTTCTTTTCCGGAGCGAGCAACGCGAATGTCCATGCTTTGCTTGCCGAGTAAGTGTCTGCATCACGAGTTTGGTACTCTAGCTAGGGGTAGCGTACGGTACAATGTAGGTCTGAGAGCAATTACTTCCGGAATTGGGCATTGGTCGACATCAACCTCGTTCTGACATCATGTTCTGGACTTGGCAGTATCTCCAAGTGTGTTTCGTGGATGGCGGCAGAAGCACCGCAGATGGTGGTTGTCCAGACAAAAATAAAGCCACTGCTAGCTAGACTTATTTCACGTCAACAGCGATTTTCGGTGGCCCACCACGTGCGAGAAACCGAATCATAAGAATAGATGGGACAATAGGAAGCTGGTACGGAACCCGGGGGGGGGTCTAGACATAATGCAATGCAATAGGTGAGATTGCTAAATGCAGTGTGACAGAGGCAAGAAGTTGCTGGCTTTGAGCCGGCGACGATCCTTTCTCCGGTCAGGTTTTGTGAGCTGGCGGGTGCATGCCAAGTGCGAAGCCAACTGTGATCCAGTGAAAATGGGAGCGGAGTCTGAAAAGACTTGCGAAGGCAACACGTAGAAAGGTGTTTCACCCGCCCCTCCCGAGCAGATCCAAGCAAGTTCCAAGCAAGTTCCCTGCAGCTGCTGCCGGAATTGGGCAACCGCGGTACTCCTAGCCAATGACTGGTGGTACAAAGATGCCTTCCCTCATGCAATATGTTGCTGGACAGCACTATGGATCCCTAATTCCCTACCGTATGGCCATGACCTTTCCCTAATCCAGCAAAAGAGGGTGTAAAGTCCTTGCTCCGGCACTTTTGCCCTTCTTTGGGTGTACTAGCTAGCTAGCTAGTATTCTAAACTTCGATATTGGTAGTAACTGTTGTCCTTTGAGTTTGGCTAGGTGCAAGGTGAAGCTGGGCAAGAAAGCGATCCTTTAAGGCAGGTTTCAGTGTTCCCAATCCGCCTTCGCTGCGGAGAATCGTGTGTTCGATGTGCAGAATGAAAACTTCCATCCCACCAGTATTCTATTGCCTTTGTGCTGGCAGCCTGCGTTGACCATTGGACCAAGTAAGTGGAGGCACAACGGAACAGATAGATACAGAGGACACTCCTGAAACCATTCAAGCACTATCCAATCATAGCTCAAGCATTATAGGTGCTCAGGTGCTCTTTAGCGCCTGGCTGGCCATTAGGTCCATGCTGGATCCAGTGTAAAGTAGGCCTATCCAGCCAATGATAGAGAAGCAACGTGCTAGTTAGGAAGTAACAAGTATTTCGTGTTGTATGTAACTGTTGTTGTAGTAGCGTATGTGCTTATGTACACTCAGTTGCTCTTTGGTAGGAAGCGGTGGCCGCATTTTCTTTGTCGCCGTAGCAAACATCCCTCGGATTCTGGATCAAGTAAGAAGCAGAACGGCAGAATGGTACAGGTACAGACAATGCCCCGGACCCCGGTGGTGGGTCCGCAGAGAACGAAACTACGAGGCAAGTTCTCACTGAGAAAGCAAGGTCACTACCGAGGACCAGCCGATTCCTGGCTGCTTGGCTGCAGCCAGCAACTGTGGCTCATCAAAGTAATGGAGATGCCTTTGGTGAACAAGTGATAACTAGCAGCTATGTATACTGGACTTGCCCTGGCTTCCTTTACAATGCTTTCAGCCAGCCATTGACCAGCTCGAGGCTGGTTGTCTGTCAGGGGACCGGCAACTACCGTATCAACCCGAAGAGTTGATGTTGTGTTGACGGTCGTTCTAGGATGAGATGCTAGCTAGGGGTATCTATCTGGCACAACATAGGCGCGTTGTCTTGTGGACCCCTTTTGGTTTCTTGCTGCTGCAGTTCTATAGTACAGACGGATGGAAGGAAGAAGAAGGATGGAATGTTGCTTGTAGTCTAGCTGCCTTGTACAAGACTGAGTTGGAAGTTCGGCATGAGAAGCAAGGATGAGAAGGAAAGAAGGACGGAATGTTGCTTGTAACTTGTTAAAGTTAGGTATGAGATCGTTGGTGTCGAGATGGGTTCCAGTACCTGTAGTTTGGTTTCTCTGGCTTCTGTTGCCAGCAATCTTCCCTACCCTGCTTTCGATGCGTTGCTTTGCCGCTGAAAATCATTCCTACCCCGCCATCTATGCATAATATCTAACTTATAAATCTATCTGCTACAGTACCGGTAGCTGGCAATGGCATACCCGCATTGTGGTGGTATCACGGAGAACCTGAAAGAAACTTAAAGCGAGTACTCTTGCTGGCTTGCTGGTTGGAGGCTCGGAAGGTGTACCCCATCGTTGTTCGTCAAAGACTAGAGCTAACTTAAGGGTCACGTCTCTGGTACGTGCCCCTGGTTTGTTTCTACATACGCTGGTATTCTCGTAGAAAGTGGCAAGAAGCCCAAAGACAATTGATCAGCCAAACAGTTAGAAAGAACGCTAAAGTTTGATTTAAGAGGTTGGCCTTGTGTTAAGTGTGAAGGATTTCCACGTTTCACCTCCTTATGTGTGACTGGGAGAGTTTCTTAGGCTCTTTCCAAGGTAGATTTAAGTGTGATGAGACGAAGAATGTTTCATTCAATGTGCATACATTTAAAAGAATATCGCAAGGCTGTTCTTTAATCAAGTAAAGGTTTTACAAGGGTGGTGATTAGTTAACTGTTTGAGTTACCAGTTAAGTTCTCTGTGCCATTTGCGAGTTATTAGCGGAAGCATTGGGGAATTCTGGGGTCCAGACTTCAGACATTGTGAATGTTCTTCGATGTCGCAGCAGAGACAGTGAGTGAACGTGAAAGGGCAACAACGGGGTTGTGCTCATAATTCGGATTATCATCCGCAGTGATCGTTGTTGAAACCTTGCCAAGCCTACCAGCTGTTGAACTTCAGCAGCCATCTTTGCAAAGCACAGCAAACAAGCTAGCTAGCTAGCTGGCTACCGTACTAGTAGCATCCTCCATAGACCGCGGGAATTTATAATCGTACCTGGATTATTATTGCGTTACCCCCGGACAAGCAAGGTCAAGCCTGAAACAGAAAAGAAGTTTTTTGGTCTTTATCTTCACAAAAGCATATAAGTCAACAAAACCACCACAACCACCACTCTCCCACAAATCCCCCACAGCCACAAATAAATATTTCTACTTATTAGAATAATTGAATGCTCTTCGCCTGCACCATGACAGACCCAAACAACCAACGCCCGCTCCAAGGTCAGGACTTTCACGACATGTTCGGTGGTACTAGTACGAATGGTGGACAGCAGCAGCAGCAGCAGCACCAACAGCAGCAGCATCAGATGGGCTATGCGTCTCTGCCTCAGCAGCTTCAGCAGATGCAAGCCAGTACCGGTACTAGTAGCGCTAGTGTAAGTGGCAACGGCCAAGCTCCGGTCGAGGAGAACCCTCAGCGCAAACGCGGCAAGAAGCGCAATGCGTCCGCCTTGGCCACCGCAAGTGGAAGTGCCAGTGGCGCCGCAGCAGGAGACGCGGAAGACGAGAGCGCCGCCGCCATGGTCTTTCCCGTCAAGCTGCACCGCATGCTCACTCTCATTGACGGAGTCACTTCTAACACCGACAGCAGCAGTAAAGAGACAGACAATGCTACTAGCAGCGCCAGCACTAGCAACGCGAATGCCCCCAAGCCTCCGCACGAAACTGAAGCTGATCCCGCTGCCATTGTCAGTTGGCAATCCCATGGACGGTGCTTCCTGGTTCATGATAAGGATGCCTTTGTTCAGAGATTCCTTCCTAGGTAAGTCAACCCATTCGCACAAATCGTACTCGTTTCAAGCTTAAGTCCACCTTAAGCAAGCTTAAGCCAAGCTAGAAGCAGCCATGGCAAGCTCAGATCAGGCAGGCAAGCAGCCATCAGGTTCAGGTCAAGCAACCTCCAAGTTCAGGCTCAGGTTCAGGCTCAGGTTCACCAACTTCCAGGCTCAGGTTCAGGTCAGGTTCAGGTCCGCAAGCACCGGGTTCACTCGAGCTCCTGATCACCACACCACCTGCTCAGCCAGGAGATCAGAAGGCAAGAGATCTAAGTCTGCTTGTTCACAGAGCCTAGAGCGCGGACTGTGTCAACTGACAGCTGGCCTAAGGGCATATCCTGAACCGGCACAAGAGACACAAGTATCTACTCTCAAGCTACTCTCAAGGTAGTGTTGGCCACGCTGCATCTAGTACAGCAGGCAATACCTGTCTTGTTACCTGGTTGACCATATCGACCTGGTTGCAGTACAACTGATGCTGTCAACGTTGGAGTTGCCCTTCACACCCACTCAAACTACACTATCAAGTTGATGGAACCTGATGGGCTCCTGATGGCCCCGATCTGAGTCAGCACTGACACTTCCAAAGCTTGTCCAGCTTGCTATAGTTTGGCCTCAAAATTGATCGTGCCACATACTTCTCACATCTACTGCCCCTACTGCCTCTTTTCCGTTGCCTTCAATACCTTTACTGCCTATTGCCTTCACACTTCCCACCCTATTTTCTCACCTCCGTCCAACCACCGTGACAATGCATTCAACCTGCATCCCTCCTCCTCCTACACATCTATCTATCTGCAACCACCGCCCTAACTCTAAACTCCACAGCTACTTTCGTCAATCCAAATGGGCCTCCTTCCAACGCCAACTAAACATCTATGGATTCCAAAGACTCACTGCAGGTAGGTTGTAAAAGACGATCCCATTCCAGCTGCATCGAACCAGTTTGGTTATCTGGGACTGCTGGTAGTCGCGTCACAAACAGAACTGCCCTCTGTGGTTCCATCTGAAATACCACCTATTGCCCACTGCAAGGAGCGTCATGCACCTATTGCCCCTTACTGGCACTATTACTAACTCATCGCCCTCTCCTCCTTCTTATCCCTCACCCTCACTATACACGTCTTGATCCATGGTACCTTCCGATACTAATGTTTTTTTTAAAATAGGTCGGGACAGAGGGGCCTACTACCACGATCTTTTTGTACGGGGACATCCAGAGCTTGCCACTCGCATTCAGAGAATGAAACTCAAGGGTATTGGGCAGGGAAGACACAGAACGAATGCAGAGCTAGAGCCTAACTTTTACAGGATGACTCCCATCGATGCGAATACTCCGGTACCAGCGGCCTTGGCAGTCAAGATGGGAGCAGCCGGAGCCATTGGACAATACTCGGCCACAGCGGGAGCACAGAGTCTGGGACCTCAAGCAGTGGCGGCTGCAGCGGCGGCTCATCCAACCGCAAACTCGGCGCTCAACAATGCCGCCACCGTCAACCTGTTGCAACTGTTTCAACAGGGGGGTGGTACCACCAATACCAACCATGCTGCGGCCCCCGCAGCTTCTGGGGCATCAATGGTCGCTGCTAACAATGCCCAGCAAGGCTTGGCGGCCCACCCGGAACTGACAAGTCTATTCTTTCTGACCAACCCTGGAGACCTGGTCACGTTGCAAGCGATGGGGAATGGGAACTCCGCGGCGGGAGGCACAGTGGGCGGGGAACAACAACGAGCGGGGAACCAACAAGACCTTGGCAACAGCAACACCACGAGACAACATCAGCATCAGTCCGCTCAAGATGCTCTCATGTTGGCCAATCTGTTCAACGGAACCGGAAGCAGTAGTGGCGGGGCGAGTTCCAATCATGCAGCCATGCAGCAGCTGCAGCTCATCCAAGACAGCAGCGGTATCGACGACGGAAACGCTCATGCTTGGGCTGCCCCCTCTTCGAATTTCTTGGCAGCCGCACCGCTTCTTCAAAATGCGGCAGATGCCAACGGAGCAAATCCTTTCTTGAACACGGCCACCCTCATGCAGTATTTTTCAGACAACAGTCCGGATCGAGATTCTCCTCCCGAAGCACCGGCGCCAAGCCCTTTTCCGGCCCCCGTGGCTCGAGCGCAGCAGCAGCAGGCACAGGCACCGCAGTCGGCCGCTAGTGCCTGGTCGAGTCTCGCGGCTGCCACAGGTTTGGCCAATGCCAATGAACATTCTTCAACAGGACAAGCCCGACTACCGAATTCCAATAGCAGCAATGACCTCGCCAATACCTTCCAATTCGAGGGTCCGAGTCTGAGACGCATGTCAGCAGCCGCCATGAGTACACTTCTATCCGCTCACCTGGGTAACAGCGGTAGAAGTATCCTCGCCGAAGGAAACAACGATCATGTCGGAATCGCGGCAGCTGCCAGCGCCACCAACGCGACTCATCATCATCGTCGGCCATCGTCCGGTGCCATGGGTGGTGCCGCAAACAATCCCTTTGGCGGCGACTCGAACCAGAACCTGCTTCTCTTCTCGACGCTCCACAACTCCCGCAACCTGTCTTCCAGTAACTTGCTCTTCCAGTCGGTGGAGGGTAGCACCACGGGTCACTTGTCTGCAGCTCCCAGTGCTACAGGAAGTGTTCACACAAACTATGCCGCCAATGCACCGGGACCGGCTCCCACCCCAGCAAGTCAGCAGTTGGCCCTCCTCAATGCGGCAGCGGCAGTCGGGAATGGTTCCAATCCGACCTCGGGCCTGTTGTATTCCGAGCTCGGTCGCGCGGCCAATGCTGCCGCCAATCACGTGACCCATCCTACCTTTCTGGACTCTGTCTACGAACCGATACCCATCAAGGAGAATGCAAATGCTACCAATCCTGCTGCGGGAGGTCGTATTGGGCACAATAACAGTCCGGAGGGAAGTGACTCGGGGCAGAAGGTGTCCCCTCGAGCATCTGGTGCCGGAACCGATCCAACCAAAGGATTCCATCCGAACTTTTCCGATTCCAATCGTCGCTCCTGACTGCTACAGCCCTTTGCTTCGCACATTCCTGAAGACCGCTTCTTCCACTTTTAGCTCAATTGTTAGAGTATCCAGTGGGTGTCAACAGGAATGAATCCTTCTAATTGCATGTCCCTCCTCTGTGCGGACCTCTGGCAAAATGCACTTCTTTCTCTCCACCGGCAGTCTTTGGGTGAAGGGGACAGGGTCAAAAGGTAATCAAGCAAAGCAACGGGCGCGAAAATCAGTCATAGTTTATAATCAATCAAATTAGATGTCAATGTGTATCCGTCAAGAAGTCTACCTGTCGGCGCCACACAGCAACTAGCTAGCTGGCTATGCCACAGTGGCTGCGGCCAATCGACTGAGCAACTCGGTGGGGCTCGCACTCTGGCCAAGAAGTCGTGGGATTGATACGAGTCTTGTGCCGTGTTTTGCCTCGAGGTTTGGGAGGCTCGATTAAAGACTGCCCGAAACATGACGGGACATCACTACCGTACACTTTTGAGCCCCCGCTGAATTTGGGAATGTTGGGAGACAGGATGGTAAGTAGGGTAGAGATGAGCTAGGAGATATCCAGCGTGTTGAGGAAAGTCAACCAAGTTTCGTTCGCACGTTCAGCATCATTCCTAGAGCGACGGCGACCCATGATCCAACACGGCAGCATCGTGTGGACGCTGAAGCTTGTTTCTACCAACAACATTCGAAGATTAACGTCGCCCCCAAATTGAAGACAAGAGTGGCGCTCACTTCGTGGAAGAAGCTTATCAATAAAATGCAACGAGAACAAAGAGAAGATCTAGCCGTTGCGCATCGGGGTCGCGGAATTGAAAAAACTGGCTAAAACATGTTATGAATTTGGCAGCCGCTGCTGCACCGTCTGGCTGCCACTCCATTCATTCGGTATTTCCCTCATGCACAAGGTGCGACTCTCACACCTCGGTCTCGGTCTGGATGGAATTCCCTGGCAACTCGTCACAGAATGTGTCACGTTGTGGAGCAGTGCTTTGTGTTTCATCTCCTCGACTGATACTATCACCATCATGGTTGTTGTTCTCGTTGGCACGCACTGCTCCGGCACCGTCTATTGTGAACCCTGCCAGGTCATCCGGTAAACCGCTGTGCTGAGGAGCGTTCTCAGTGCTGCCACTGGCATGACTCGTGTTGTCCATGTTGTCCCCCGAGGCAATTGTTGTTTCTCCAAGGGTCAACGCCGAAACAACCGACCTGGACTTAGATGTTGTGTCTACAAAATAGGTCTGCAAAAGTCCCTTGCCTTTAGCTTGGACCTTGTCCGGACGAGTTGTCAACCACATTCCCTTGCCCTTGGCACGAAGAGCATCAGCTGTTTCCTGAGAGACATGGATGCGATGTGGTAGTCCATTGGATTCCATTCGAGACGCCGTGTTCACCGTGTCACCTGCAAGTGTGAAAGTGTGAAACGGAGAAAGGATAAGAGCACACTGCCTTGTCCTGCTGGCTGACTTCGTTTCTCGCTCCATCAGTCGATCCATGAGGTAACTTACCAAAAAGCTGAAAACGAGATTTCTGCCCCCTCAGAACTCCGGCGGTCACTGGTCCACTGAGATTCGATTGGAGCAAGACGAGAATGAAGAGCGAACAAGGGGTCAGCTCATGGGCGTAGCAACATGAGTCTCTTTTCTTGGACAGCAGTTGGATTGCAACTTACGAATGCAGCCCCACGCGCATGAAAGATGGAAGATATGGAATGCTAAAGAGAAATACGCTTTTCGATTATCAAGATGATCCTCATGCCGTGGCATTCTACCCAATCTTTGACAAGTTCTCCTACTACGAAGACTCAGACTCGGACCCGATCCACCCAAAGTCGGTGCTGTATTCCTCATCATGATCTATTGGAGAACGTACTTTGACAACCTCCTACCTCCGGGAGCCGATGGCATCTTTGTCATCCTAGAGAACACTTGCGATCAGGTCTACACCTATCGCATTGATGGAACATCCTCACTCTTTGTGGGACATGGGATCTACACGACCCAAAGTACGACTATCTGAAGCTGGACCTCCATCGGAAACATTATCAACGCACAAGTCCTAGATGACAACCAGAATGGATGCCATTACAGCATCCGGTATACCCCTCACAAGACTTTGAAGAGACATCGAACAACAAGCCATGGATCTACGTACTGTGCTGGCGTCGCTCTTTCTCTTTACGTCCGGCTCTTTTTGATCTAGATCACATGGTCGAACAACGACAGAAATTGTACTCCAATCGGCACAACAGTCAGGCAAGCTCGTCAATACACTCTTTCCGAAGAAGTGGGATCAACTCTATCAAGAGCACAAGAAAGCAACAAGAAACAAAAACAAAAGGGATGGGAAAACACACCTTCCAAACGACCTGCCAAGATGCTCTCGTTAATCGTGCCTCGACCATGGATAACAATACGGAACATGGAAAAAAGGCCATTGCCAGTTTGTACCCTGAAAGCACCATCTTCTTTGCGGATCTAGTCGGTGAGTACATGCAGTAACTCCAGTGCAGGGAGGCAGGATGTATGATTGAAAGTCGGTTTCGTGCCTAACCCAACATTCTCGCACTGTTTCTCCTTCTGCACCATTCGTCCGTTCATTTGTACTGCAGGGTTTACTTCCTGGTCTGCCAAGCGAACTCCCGTTGAGGTCTTCCAGTTGCTCGAAACGATATGTAAGTCCATGAGAGCTGTACTCATTGGCTGCTACACCCGATCGAAATGACATTCTCACATCAACAACCACCCGTTTCTTGACACCAGATGGAGCGTTTGACAACATTGGCTCAAGCGTGACGTATTCAAAGGTACGCGCCAGGAAAACGCCTGGGTTCATGCATATGCCTTATGCATTTCGTTGGTAGCTCATCGTGACTGCCTTGCTTTGCCTTTCCTGCCACTACTCACTACCTAGTGGAAACCATTGGAGATTGGTAAGCACAGTGCCGTCCGTTGTGGAACATGCCGTTTATTAGCAACTCGATGACCTAACGCCATCGCCACCGTTCTTGTGCACAGTATGTTGCCGCAACAGGTCTGCCACAGCCCCAGCCGGATCATGCAATCATATGTGTAAATTTGCAACGGATTGCATGAACAAAATGAAGGTGATGATGTCATTCTGGCCGACACAATGGGAGAAGAACTGCTGATCTGGC